GGGTGGGTGTTGGGTCAGGCAACAGACTGCTGAAATGTCACTGAAGAAAAGCAAAGCATGGCTATAATCACTAGAGTCATTTAGCAGATCATGAGGTAAAAACAAACAGCTAAGGCCTCAACCAGCCTTTACTGGTATAGTTCTTGGTGTGCATCATGGAAAGGAAGACAGATATTTGCTTAGTATCTGCCTACAAAAGTACTGTTAAGAGTAATTTTTACAACTGGGAACAAATATCATTTATATGTACATGTATGTGAATACAACCATAGATGTTTCTTCTCCAGAAACCTTAGGTAGGAGAAAAGATGTTCTGCAGGAGCTTGAGGGGGAAGGGCATTTGCTGTCCCCGATTGACCCTGTTTTGGGTATAGCTAGTCTAGTTCATTTATGGAGACACAGTGCCCCCCGGTGGCCAGTAAGGTACTTTAGAGCTTTACTTGACCACTAAGTTTCCTGGTCTTACAGCCCCATTGTTCTTCCTAGTTAAACACAAGACAGTCCTGAGACCAAGACCTGCTTTGAAGCTTGTTTTGTTTCCAAAGAACGTGAGTGTATGCCAGACATCAGGGGCAGCTAAGGTAAAGGCCGCTCAATGAGAATGAGGGATAAGTTTGGGAAATCTGGGTCTTATGAAGAGATTTTTCAGGGAGCAGCTGTGGGCTTGCTTCATAAGGACATTTTGGCCAGGCGAATATATAAAATCACATATATATGTATATAATACGTGATGACAGCCCCACAAAGTGCTCATAGACACCATCGCTTTCTTAGTTGTGTAGTGCACTCCCTAATGTCTGCCCAGTGACCAAAACCACGAAAACAAAAAACCCAAACCGCCTCATGGATGTACCGATGAAACAGTGACATTACAGTAGGCAGAAGTAAAAACATGGTCAGAGGAAATGTTGAAGTAGGAAACACCATTTTTTAAAAAATGCGATTTAGGACTGCCTGGAAAAGAGGAGTGATTTCTGACCTGAGGCTCAGGGTTTGCTGGGGACATCTGATGCCCAGAACAAGGTAGCTGTTTTTTTTTTTTTTTTTTTAAACCAGATCTGTCTGCCAGCAGATGCTCTCTTAACCATGAATCCATAGAAGATATAGGGCACACTCTGTTTGAGATTTGGCAAGGGAGAGTCCCTAAGAACACAGACACAAATTTATTCTACAGCCGGGATTTTGTAAGCATCCCTACAGATTGCCTCCCCTTTAGCTAGGGAACCTGAGGTGCCCACACACACTGCCCTTTTACTAAGCTCTGGCGCTGTTCTCTGTCTCCAAGAACAGGAGCTATTCTCTTGTAAGGGAGGCAAGACACTCCAAAACTTCCTCAGGGGAAGGATCAAGAGACACAGGTTACCCCAGCAGTGAGTCTGGGGCTCTAAGCTCATCCTGCTTTCTTTGGTACTGGGGTCAAACCTTAGTTTCCGGCTGACAACCTGCCCTGCTCCAGTAAATTCTCGGAACTCTAGTTTCTCTTGCCTTCTTCACAGAATGTGTTCTTGTGACTGCAACATTGAAACCAAACTAAGCCAATCCCTCATCCTTAAAGCAAAGGGGAGACAGGAAAGCTCCCAGAAAGATCTCTTCAGAAGACAGCGTAATGGTAGCAGAAACAGAAAGCTGTCTTTCTGAAGGAGGTCAGTTGGAAACCTAATTCTTGAGTTTTCTTCTTAGGTATATACAATATATTCGAGGGACTGACCGTGAGAGACAGATGGAAAGGAGAGATGTGAACTAAAGTTCCTGGAAAGAAGTTCACCACTGAACCTTCTAGAGGCTGGCTGACTGATTAGAACTTAAATGATTGCGCAGAAGTTGGAATGCTGAAGGTCTGGAACTTAATTACAGTTTGTTAGGCTATCTTTAGCCCCCTTAAATAACCATTCATTACTCACCTTTATATCTGACTGGACATCTTTCTGACTATCAGGTAAAATGTTTTGGGATGAATTAGTGGACCATTAACTTTCACTAGCCCTGAAAGCTAAGAATGCCATCAGACAGCATCTGAGGCCTTACAAGTTCTGATTTATGGCTTTGTCTTGTTACTATTAAAACACAATGAATTCTGGGCATGTTTTTGCTCAACTTTAATCCCAGTACTTAGGAGGCAAAAGCAGGTGGACCTCTATGAGTTTGAGGTCAGCCTGGTCTACATAATGAATTCCAGGCTAGCCATGGTTACACAGTGTCTGACTCAAAACAAACAAAACCCAACCCAAACCCAAAATCCAACCAACCGACCCCCCAAAAGAGCAACAACAAACGGCATGCAGCTGTCAGCATCACAGAACATGGAATATGGGGTAACCTCAACCTTTTCTGGTTCACGGCCCCTCCTATGTGGTCCCAGAGAAAACTCCATGTTTTACATCATCACAGGAGGGTGTGAAAATTGCCACATGCGCTAGTCTGGGTCATTTCTCTGTTTCAAAGTCTCATTGTTCTGGTCATTTTCTGTTTCAGTCTTACAGCTGAGCCTGCCGCACTGCAGCTGCCTCGCTTCCTTCCCACCACCGTCCTTATGCCTATTCCTGTTCTCTGTGTTGTTTTTATTGGTAACTTCTGAAAACACCCTGTCCTTCTCCTGGTCCGGACACTCTCCCTGGTGTTCTCCAGAAGGGGCCACTTTCTTGCTTTATGTCTGCTCTTGACACACTATTCCTCAAACTAAACACGTTTGGCCCTGGGGGGTAAGGATTTGTGGGATAAACAAGAAACTAGGTATGGGAGAAAAGAAAGTACTGGTAGCTTTGAAGAGGAGGCCAAACAAGAACCCCGAGTTTGTGATGGATGAGGACAAAGGGTTCATGGCTCCCCAGAGGCTTGAGATTGAAGACTCTACCTGAGCTGCCTCAAATGCTGATGGCACCAGCGATCCAGAAACATGGAGAGAGCCACAGCAGGCAAGGGCATGTCTCCTTCAGGTTTCTTTCAGAGTTAGACAGGCTTCTGGGATAGGGATACTTCTCTAGCTTCCATACAATCACATGGATGTTTCGATTTATCTTGCCAAAGTTCTGCCAAGATCATTTTAAGGTAAATAGGGCAGGGAGCAGATAGCATACAGGACAGAGCCGTGTTCCTGGGGGCTGACTGGTCCACAGAGCACTCCCAGCCATTTCTACCCTCAGGCTTCAGTTTGGTTTTACTGAATATAAGACATTAGCAAATCAGAGCAGGAAAATAAGATTATTCTTGCACCTTCCTGGCTGGGTCCCTGTAGATCAAGGACACTGCTCTCGGGGCTGGCCCTTTCTAGTTTCTACTAACAGTGAGCTGATTACTCAGCTCCAGGGTATGGCATGTTTCTGGCTTTGTCTAAACCCTGCCCACACATACCTTCCCGAGTACCCTCCCATCCTGCTTCCTCAATTATGCCCCATTCTCTCTGCTCTGATCGGGGATTCTAACTGACATCTGGGAGGGAAAACACAAGGGAGGAGAGACCATGGAACTTTCTATACAGCTATAGGAAAAAGAGTTTTGAGGCCCTACTGGCTAAGAGATCAAGTTCCTTAGCTTTTCTGGATGCCAGCTCTCCTATCCAGTTACTACAGAGATAATGTCACTGTTGGAATTGTGTAAGAGTGTACAAACAGCAGCACAACACCTGTCACACCGCAGGTGTGCTATTGGCACACACCAGGCTCTCCTGAACACCTTACTCCCTGCCTCTAATGCTGAGCAGATGCTGGAGCAGTGCTCCGGGGTAAATGCTCCCGCCCCCTCCTATTTCTGTCCACCCATTGCTTTCTCATTGATCCCTGGTTGTGAAGATCAGACTTAGATTCCTTAGTTTTTCATGAGGGGAATATGGCAGAAGGGAGAGAAGACTGAGACAAGAATGAATTCAGGAGAGTTTTTTCATGTTAAGGCTATTTGGGCTATCACACTGAAAAATCACAAAAAGGGGTAAAATGGTAAGGGTGAGTGAGCTCCAGAGCACATCTTTCCTTCCTTATTTCTTCACTAAGTGTGAGATACTCCCAACTAGTCGAGGGCACAGGAGCAGTTTTCCTCTCTCTCTTCTGAAGAAATTGAAGCTAACAGGGCTGACTCCATTTTGTTGCTCAGACTCTATCTTAAGTTGACTGTCCTTGGAGTGACTTGGCCCCCATCCTGCAGGCTGTCATTAATACTACAGAACATATTAATGGGTCTTCCACCCAACAGGCTATTGTACAGATAACTCTGGTCTGACCAGGTGACTCGGAATGATCAGCTAAAGGTCACCTTGCTTGCTGATCCCCCCAACCCACCACCCAATCTTACTCTACCAGGTAACACCAAGGCTTGGAATTCCCGGCTTGCAGTTTTTCCCTTTAAAAACTCTGCCCTCCTGAGACTTGAGGCTGCTCATTCTAACCTGCTGTCTCAGGGATGATGGACAGCCGGAGCTTAAGCTCGAATAAAGCCCTCGTGTGTTTGCATCAGACAAACATACGAGGTGGTCTCTTTGGGGGTCTCGCTTCTAGGTGTAATGTCTCCATTCCAGGGTAGCTGCCTTTTGCACTGTCCTTAGTAGCAGTTGGTCAGGTAGACAAAAGGGAAGTCACTCGGTGGTTACACCTCAGATAATCACCATAGGTATTTATCTGGCGCCATCCCCCTCTGCAAACACTGCTTTTTAATCCTTCAGCCTGCGGCAGCCAGAGAGAACAGCAATAGTGTCCTTGAGGCTACACAAGACTCAGTGTGAAAATAGGGACTTGGTGGGGCTGACAGCCGGCACTGAGAGTTGGTTGAGGTAGTTAGTGAAGAAAAGATATCCCCTGATTCTGTTTCCAAGCGTCCATCTCCCTGTAAGTGCTGTCCTATTTCTCAGCCCCCATAAGGGAATAAGGGGTAAGGGAATAAGGGTTTGTTGAAGTTCAGCAGTCCTGTGTCTCAGGAGAAATGGCCTGTAACCATAAAAATGACTACTGGTCCCACTTCCATCCTCACCCTCTTTTCCCCTATCAGAGACTCGACTTGCAATCAGGTTGAAGGGAAAGGGTAAAATGGGAATTTTATTACACATGTAGCAAATCTGGAGTGATGGTCTTAATACCAATGTTCCAGTTAATTCAGACACTCAGACAAAACATCTTTTCTAGGTCCCGAGCGAGAACAGGGTCTCCTGTATATAAAATCTGGGTTAGTCCATGCCTAGTAAATGTTTGGCCTCACTGAAAAAAAGTCTGAGGAGCAAGGTCTCCTCAGGAGAAGTCATCCTAGGTTCAAAAGAGCAGTGAGGGATCTCTCTCTCAGGCCCACAAGGCAATAAGGGCCATGAAGGCAAAGCCAGCAGCCACACAGCCAAATTTGGCCAGAGGGGCCTCAGGACAAGCCAGCTCCCGGGGCAAAATTTCTAGGAAGGTGACATATAAGAATGTGCCAGCTGCTATGCCCTCTAATACAGCCTGAGCTAATCCCTGCCCTGGCCCCGAGGCCCCTCCAGCCACAGTCAGCCCCAGGGCCAGTCCCACAGGAGACATGAGCGCTAAGGACAGTATGCAGAACATGGCCCATCGAGACCCAGTCCCAATCTTCACCAGCCGCAGCCCTACGCTGAACACCACGAGCCCCTTATGAGCCAGAACGGCAACGCAGAGCTGTACGGTAGCTGCCACTGTTGTCTGCAGTCCCACTGCCAGACCTTCGAACACAGAGTGAAAGGACAGCGAGAGCAGAAGGATGAGGGCGCGGAGGGGACCCCGTGAGGGCGAGGGCACAGGCAGATGTTTGTGGAATTCAAAGGCGTGAGTCCCTCCCCATTCCTCCTCCTGTACGGTTGATCCTCCAGCAGCCCCATGGCAGCACTGCAATGCCAGCGACTCCGAAAGGAAGACAAAGAAAAAGCCCAGGGAGATGACAAGCTCTCCGTAGGGATACTCCACCTAGGAACAGAGAGAGGGACCATAAGCCAGGAAGGGAAGGAGACAGTACATTGCATGGACATGGGGCCAGGAGAGAGAAGAGAATGGGAAAATGGGGGGAACAGAGCACAAAGGGGACGGGGCTTAGGGGAGACACACGGAAGGAGAAACCCGAGGGATGAAACACTCTTGGGTTGGAATGAAAGGAAAATGATGTGAAGTATGTCAGAGAGTCCAGGGTAGGAAGGAGAGTAAAGCAAGAGCTTTCTCCGAGGGCCCACAAACAAAGAATTAGATTGGCACCGTCTTTCTCTACATTTTCTGAGTGGAGAGAAGAGATTCCTGGTAATCCTCAGGTGTCCAAAGGGCACGAGCAAGCAGCCCCTGGTTCTCTTCACTCTCCAGAGAGAGGCTAATAGGAGATACTTACGTAACTGGAAGCAGCATGTTGAGAAGAGTTCCCCTTACTGTCTGTACTATTCTAGGGAGACGGAAACAGAAATTAGCCTGAGAGTCTGAGGCAGCGCTCGATCCTGTCTTGCCCTTTCAGCTATCAAGCCTTCCTTGGAAGCTCAGTCCGACCACCCTTCCGCCCCTTCTTCTCAATAGCTGCTGTCCCACCCGTGCTCTGTGCTTCCCCGCTTTCTTCCCTGGCTCTCGTTTATCGGCCCCAGGCCCCATGGCCCATAGCCCTGTCACTTGATTTCTCTGCTACCCACCTGTACCAGGAATTTCTGAATTTCTGATTCAATTCCCCCCAGGGCTTCAGCAGTCATATGCATCAACCCTGCTCCCAGGAAGACACCGGCAGAACTGCAGCCCAGGAGGCTCAGAACCCTGTGGTGATGACCTATTAAAAAAAAGCCAAAGTTGTCTTCCAGTTAGCAAAGAGATAGATGGGAAAGAATGAAGGGCAACAGACAGCACCCAGTGTCTTTGGGGAGATGTGAGAGAACCAGAGACAGATGGCAGGAAAGGTCCGAGAGGAGACATGGAGTGGGGCTGCTGTACCTGTAGCTGCATCCATCTGGAACCATTTGACGTAGACGGGAGTAAGGCCACAGCCCAGTGTGAGAACCAGAAGGGCAAGCAGGCAGCCAATCTTCACTCCCAGCAGCACCTCCATCTTTTGTAGAGACCTCCGAATGCCAACTGCAGGGAGTAGCAGTTGAGGTGGTCAAAGTGCAGTGTCCCCTTGCATGGATTTCAGGAGACTGTCGGTATTCTCCCTGTCCTGGACCGTGTCTCTCACCGCATAGCTGCCTAGGGCTCAGCCCCAGCCACCAACCCTCCCACTATCTGGAGGCCCCTCCCCTGCCTCACGCCTTCCCTTCCCAGGCTTCCAAACCAGAAACTCCAGACTCCCTGCCAGGTACAGCTCAGTGAAGTTTTCTCTTCAATGCTGTGACTAATCCAAGAGCTCTGAGGAGTCTTAGTTCATGTCTGGGGTTGACCTAACCTCAAATGGGACAGTCCATGGTAGTTACGGCTCAGCTAATTTATGTGTGGGGCAGTTTGGTCCTGCCACGGTCAAGACATTTAATCTAAGCCTTCCTTCCACATGCTCTACCTATCCTAAGTCTTAGAGGCTGCTACGATGATACTTGAACTGAACCCTTTCAGAGAGGATTTGGGGCCACCTGAGGGTACAGGGGGTGGGGCTGAGCACAGGGCTGCTACTCTTCTGTGGGAATTAGCAAGTGGAGGGATTCCCCTTTCCTCTAATTCCAGAAAAATAGCTCCAGGTATGGAAATTCCCAGGGGTGTGTGTAGATTCCTAATGTATAATATGGATACTGTCACCTTTTTTTTTTTTTTTTTTCTTGAGACAAGCTCTTACTGTGTAGCCCTGGCTAGCCTGGAACTATGTAGACCAGGCTGGCCTTGATAATCTCATAGATTCACCTGCCTCTGCTTCTCCAAAAGCTTGAGCCACTATGTACCACTTGTCACCACTTCTGTGAAGAAGCTGTCCCCTACAACCCCAGTAAATCAGTCATTTGTTTTCCCTAAAAGCTTAAACACTTCTTTCCCTTCAGTTTAAAGAAAGCCACAAACTTCAAACAGCGAACGTCTGGGCTGAGCACATTCTTCCTTCTGGTCAAGGTAGGCTGTTGCCATGTCCCTGTTGCTGTTCCTGTAATTTAACCTTGTCATTTTTGTCACACAGGGCAATTTACAAGCTTGCTGTGCAGAACCTCAGATTGCTCAACGGCCTACCAGAGGTCCATCAGTGCCAAGGAGTCTAAAAACCTTGACTTTTATCAAAACCTGTGACATCACCAGCTTGCCCCTTCCCCTCTTCTGTGACCCCTTCCCTTAGAGTTCATAATTACGCTTGCTGAGTGATCCCTGCTTCTGGTGGGTATCCTCCTGACTGTTTTGGGGGATTTGTTAATGTTTCCTGCTGTGAACTGGGCTTATTCTAGAAAGGAAACAGGAAAATGGAAACAAAGCAAATAAACAGTAGTGCCCTGATGAGATCTAGATATGGGTAGAGCTGGACGGCTCAGTCCTGATGGGAGCGACCTTGGGGGAAATACGAGGCAAACTCCAGGGAAAGAAACAGGGTAAGGAAGCCAGCTCCTTGCTGGCTTCCACTTAGGAGGCCCCCATAACTACCAGCTGAGACCTGTAGAGACCGGTCACAGGGCCAGTGGCATCTTCCTCCGCCACCTTGCCATCTTTCAGGGGAGTATCTTATAGAAGTATCTGACTGAGCCCTCATTCTCTTCATTCTCCATAGACGGGCCAGGACAACTGACATAAAATCCACCTCTGTTCTTAGAAAAATTTATTATTAAAATTTCAAACAAACACAAGCACAGGGGTACCAGCACTCTCTTCCTGGACACGGGGTCGCTTTCGCCTTGGCAGCTGTGATGGAACTCTTGGTATACGCCCTTGTCAACTCTCAGGGGGCTCTTCAGCAGGGGACAGAGCAGGCTCAGAGGAAGGGATCACTGGTAAAAGGTCTCCCCAGGAGCTGACTCGGGCACAGCGGTACAAATCCCTGAGGCACAGGAAAGAGGTGTTACCGGGAGCTGCAGGTTCCCCAACATTTCCCCACGCGGTCATACCCCCGCACCTGCCGTGTCGACGGGCTGTGACCACAGCATGCTGCATGTGCCCGTCTGGGCAACAGAGGTGACAGTGCACGTGCCGAGGCCGTCTAAGGACAGGCTGAGTGATTCGGGGCCAGCGGCTAGCCTCCTTTGGAGACCCTTTGGCAAGGATCACCATAGAGAACATTTCCTCCTTCGGCTTCTTATTCTAAAAGAAGAATATGGGGGCTGGTTAGAGGGAACAAACTTGTTTAGCTCCCGTCCCCTTATTTGCCTGAAGCCCTTTCTCATCCCATAAATCACATTGTAGGTTAGTCCAGGAATTTTTCAGCTCTTCCCACCTTCCCCTGTCTAGTTAGTCTGTTTTCCCAGGCTAGCTCTCCCTGTTGCAGCAGTGAGAATACGTACCCAGCTGAAGGGGATCGGGTGATACGCCTGGGAGAAGCTACAGGCCAGGGGCTTGGAGTCACTCAGCTGAGGACAAGGAAGCTCATGGGGACACTGCAAATACACATAAGACCCATCACAGTGTAGCTGGGGCTGGAGACAAGGCTCATCTGGTGAAGGTGCTTCCTGCAAAACCCTGGTGGCCTGAATTTGATCCCTTAAATAGAGGAAGGAGGGAACAGATTCCTCGAAGCTGCCTACCCTTCACACGCATGCTCCATACATCATGCATCACCCCCCCAATGCTATGAAAAGTAAAATAAATGTACAAGTATCTAGAAATAAGGACTTTAAAGCACATTACAAATCCTAAGGTTAAAGAATAAGGAGTCGGCAGGGGCCAGAAGGAAGGGAACACAGGGCAAGGGGCTGGGAAAGCGGTGGGATCACTGGAGGAGGCCATGAGGACAAGGCAGGAGAGTGGCCGCCTCCTGCTCCTGCTCTAGGTGACAGAAGATGAAGCAGAACTTACTGGGGCAAAGACAAAGCTAGGCTCAAGGTCCAAAGGTGACTTCTCTTTTTCCTGAAATCAAGGAAGTACAGCTGAATCTGTGGGGAATCTAGCTTCATGAGCCAACCTCTGCACCTGGTGAACTGAAGACGCCTCATTATAATTCCAATGTTGGCAAACCATGCTCACTGAGGTTACAGCTCTAATGTCCCACACAATGAACTCATCTTTACTACAGCAGAAGGGCAGGGCGGGGCACACGGTACTATACTCTCGTTAGCAACCTCCACTGACAAAACCCCCACTCTGGCACAGTTAAATTTAGGATTCTGTATTGGCTCACACGGTTTCTCTGAGACTAGGTTCTTGGCTCAGCAACACTTTCAATCAGGAGTCAGCAAAGTCATTTTTTGAACAACCAAGGAGCAATCAACATCTGTCTGTGAGGTAGCTGGCTCTGCAGTCTGAGTGTGAAAGCTATCACACACATGAATATGCACAGTCCTAGGGCAACAGGCCCTGGGCTGGATTTGACCCAGAAACCTCATTTGCCAACCATTTTGCTGTATCATGACTTTGTGTGTCTCAATCTGGAGCCACCATTACAAATTCGGGACAATCACAAGCTCCCAAGGGAGTAATAGTAACTTAGGACAGAAAGGTGGACGACTGCGGATAAGAGCTCTACCCGGAGGACCAGGTTCCTAACATCCATGAGAAGTCGGTGTCCAGCTTTTGTTCCATTCTCCACCAGCACCTGTTTAAAAACAGAGAACAAAAGCTGGCACTCTAAATCCCAAGAAACAGAAGTCAGTGGCTGTCAGGGCACTCGCAGAGGGAAGCAGGCATTGTGTGAGAGGGATCTACAAAAGAGAAAGATACTAGATGCTAATAAAGAGGAAAAGGCAGAGTCACAAAGCTGCTTGCGGGGAAAGGATTTCAACTCACCAGAAAATGGCTTGTCTTACGCCACAAATTCTGCACTACCTCAAGGCGATCAGCCCTGCTGGGTAGTTCACTGAGGGCGAAGGCTGCCACTGTAACATCAAACTGGACCTGGGAACCAGGACAAGGGTCACAACAGACCCGACACCTCCCTATCCAAAAGCACAACAAATTCCTGGCCTCTAGATCTTCCTGACCCCAACCTTCCTAACCCATGTTGGACTGGAATTCACAGCAATCCTCAGCTCCTGAGTGCTGATACTATAGGTGTGTACCACGACACCTAGCTTTAAATTTATCTCCTAACACAAAATGATGGATTTCACGGCTGAGGCCACAGCTCTCATCTGCCACATTATGTCTGAGAACAGCCTACTTGCTACTTGCCTTTGGTGACACAGGAAGAAACTGTCTGAAAAAGACACCTGGGATACAGGGCTTCCCTGATTCTGAACCACCTATGGAAGAAAGATTCAGTAGCTAAGAGTTTATACTCAATTAAAACACGCCTCAGATGATTATACCAGCCGAGAGGTGCAGGGCTATGAGGAAATATTAGAAATGGTGACCCACTACCACCACCCCACCACTCAGAGTCCCCAGAAGGCCCCTGACACTGCTTCACTACAGTAACAGAAGGGGACCAGGTTAGCTTAATTCATAGCTTTCTCTTTCACATGCCAACAAAACACTTTCCTAACTCCCTTAACTTCTGAAAAGCCCTGGGTTATAGCTTGGTCTCACCTTTTAGTAGCTTTTCAGCCAAACCCAACATGGCAGCTGAGCTGTCTACACACATATATTCACGGAGGCTCTGGCCCCAAGTACTGTGCGCAGCCCTGAGACGGCAAGATGAAAAACACCCATTTTTTTTGATGAACAGTCATTTCTCCAAGAGACCCACCTGACCTCAATCCCACCCCTGGGAAATCAGGGTGCTACATTAAGACATATAAACAGTGTAATTTTCTCTTTTTTTCACAATTTATTCACTTTCTGTCCTGATTGTAGACCCCTCCCTTATCTCTTCCCAGTCTTACCCTCCCCCTCTTCCCTAACTTTATTTTCTTACTGTATTTACAACTTCTGAAATAAAAGGCAGATGATTCAAAAATTGATTTGTAGACATAAAAATTGACTGGCATATAAAATCTATTCCTTATGCTAAATGTCTCTTTCTTTTAACTCGAGTACTGAGCCCTTTTCATGTACTACTTTTTTAAATCTAACCCAAATTCTTCTGGTTTGTCTAATCTGAGGGCAGCAACTAGGTCCAACTTTCTTGTTCCCTAGTGTCCCAGTTTCTTGATACTGAGATGGTGTAGAAAATCTGACTCTCTAGAACAGTGGTTCTCAACCTTCCTAATGCTGTGACCCTTTAACACAGTTCCTCATGTTGTGGCAATCCCCAACCACAAATTATTTTCATTGCTACTTCATAACTGTAATTTTGCTATGTAAAATTATATTGCATTGTAAAAATGCAATGTAAAAATCTGATATGTGACCCCTGTGAAACAGTCATTTGGCTTCCAAGCGGGTCGTGACCCACAGGTTGAGAACTTGCTCTAGAGTTAGCATGGATATGTCTAAGGGTTAAGTTACTTACCAGGTGACAGAACCAGTGCCAGACCCAAAGTCCATCAATGTTTGTGGTTTGAACTCCGGAACTCGAGCCTTGATCTGATGGAAATACACAACACCCCAGAGAAAGGTAAGTCAGCACTGAGAGCTTTGCTAGTGATCAGGGGACTGAGACAGGGGTGAGATAGGAATGTACTACAAGACTCCCTAAAACAAAACAAACAAACACTTTGAGATAGGAAACACCTCAGTGACTCTAACCTTTCTTAGGCCACAGAATTTTTTCCAAAGGATATACAGAACCAATAATGTATATATACATAACATCCCAAGAACTCCTACCACAGAAACTAATTTATGGACAGCAAAACCATTGATAAAGGGACAGGTTGGACTTTCACCTCA